ATCATCAACATTATCATCTTCATCACTATCGCCTCCATCATCATCGATATCATGGTTATCACAAGCATCAAGCCTTACCCAATCAGGTAGATATTAGATGCATCCAAACAAACACTCCTACCTACTCACCAACCTATCTCTCTGTCACACATGTTCATACGGAAAAAAAGAAAGAAAGAAAAAAATAGAGAGATAGACAGATAGCCAGCCATCAGACAGGCAGGCAGACTGGCAGACAGACAGACAGACAGATAGATAGATAGATAGATAGATAGATAGATAGATAGATAGATAGATAGATAGATAGATAGATAGATAGATAGATAGATAGATAGATAGATAGATAGATAGATAGATAGATAGATAGATAGATAGATAGATAGATAGATAGATAGATAGATAGATAGATAGATAGATAGATAGATAGATAGATAGATAGATAGATAGATAGATAGATAGATAGATAGATAGATAGATAGATAGATAGATAGATAGATAGATAGATAGATAGATAGATAGATAGATAGATAGATAGATAGATAGATAGATAGATAGATAGATAGATAGATAGATAGATAGATAGATAGATAGATAGATAGATAGATAGATAGATAGATAGATAGATAGATAGATAGATAGATAGATAGATAGATAGATAGATAGATAGATAGATAGATAGATAGATAGATAGATAGATAGATAGATAGATAGATAGATAGATAGATAGATAGATAGATAGATAGATAGATAGATAGATAGATAGATAGATAGATAGATAGATAGATAGATAGATAGATAGATAGATAGATAGATAGATAGATAGATAGATAGATAGATAGATAGATAGATAGATAGATAGATAGATAGATAGATAGATAGATAGATAGATAGATAGATAGATAGATAGATAGATAGATAGATAGATAGATAGATAGATAGATAGATAGATAGATAGATAGATAGATAGATAGATAGATAGATAGATAGATAGATAGATAGATAGATAGATAGATAGATAGATAGATAGATAGATAGATAGATAGATAGATAGATAGATAGATAGATAGATAGATAGATAGATAGATAGATAGATAGATAGATAGATAGATAGATAGATAGATAGATAGATAGATAGATAGATAGATAGATAGATAGATAGATAGATAGATAGATAGATAGATAGATAGATAGATAGATAGATAGATAGATAGATAGATAGATGGATCGATGGATCGATGGATCGATGGATCGATGGATCGATGGATGGATGTATGGATGGGTGGACGGGTGGACGGACAGACGGACAGACAGATGATAGAGACGTAAGTGCAATTCATCAAATCAATTCATTAGAAACCTAAATAACTGGGACAGACAGACGGACAGACAGACAGACAGACGGACAGACAGACAGACAGACAGACAGACAGACAGACAGACAGACAGACAGACAGACAGACAGACAGACAGACAGACAGACAGACAGACAGATAGATAGATAGATAGATAGATAGATAGATAGATAGATAGATAGATAGATAGATAGATAGATAGATAGATAGATAGATAGATAGATAGATAGATAGATAGATAGATAGATAGATAGATAGATAGATAGATAGATAGATAGATAGATAGATAGATAGATAGATAGATAGATAGATAGATAGATAGATAGATAGATAGATAGATAGATAGATAGATAGATAGATAGATAGATAGATAGATAGATAGATAGATAGATAGATAGATAGATAGATAGATAGATAGATAGATAGATAGATAGATAGATAGATAGATAGATAGATAGATAGATAGATAGATAGATAGATAGATAGATAGATAGATAGATAGATAGATAGATAGATAGATAGATAGATAGATAGATAGATAGATAGATAGATAGATAGATAGATAGATAGATAGATAGATAGATAGATAGATAGATAGATAGATAGATAGATAGATAGATAGATAGATAGATAGATAGATAGATAGATAGATAGATAGATAGATAGATAGATAGATAGATAGATAGATAGATAGATAGATAGATAGATAGATAGATAGATAGATAGATAGATAGATAGATACATAGATAGATAGATAGATGGATCGATGGATCGATGGATGGATGTATGGATGGGTGGACGGGTGGACGGACAGACGGACAGACAGATGATAGAGACGTAAGTGCAATTCATCAAATCAATTCATTAGAAACCTAAATAACTGGGACAGACAGACGGACAGACAGACAGACAGACAGACGGACGGACGGACGGACGGACAGACAGACAGACAGACAGACAGACAGATAGACAGATAGAAACCTAAATAACTAGACAGACAGACAGACAGACAGACAGACAGACAGAGACAGACAGACAGACAGACAGACAGACAGACAGATAGATAGATAGATAGATAGATAGATAGATAGATAGATAGATAGATAGATAGATAGATAGATAGATAGATAGATAGATAGATAGATAGA